CACCCTCTATTGAACATCCAGTAACGCTGCATTGACTCGAGCACAATCTACGCAGCTGACAGTTATTCCAGTGTACACCGGTACCATTTGATTGAACATGCAATTACACTGTCAATGGTGCTTTAATGCTGTGCCAAATTCATACCGCAGGATGTTATGCTCTCATCTCCTCATCCTGATGTCTGATACAAAACAAATAACTTGTTGAATATTTAACGCGTCTGAACAAATGTGTTTTAAAAACCCACCCGGTAATTTTGTTGATTTTGATAGCTCGTTCATGTGATACCAGGAAATGTTTAACCTCTATTGTAGAGAGACAAAAGGTTGTTTTAATCCCACTGTGAGAGGGGAGGGAGGGTCAGGGGAGGGACGTGGGAGGAGGGGGGGAGGGGTTGTGGGTGTGTTGTAGGGGGTGGGGGGTGATTTTGTGAGGGAATCGGCTCGTCTCTCTTACTGTCACTCAGTCCCAGCAGACACATCGAGGAGTACAGCCACTGGGATTATGACAGCTCAACTCTCACACTGAAGGGATTAATGCTTAATGTAGATTCAGATAAAGGTGATGTATTCTCTCTATTGTTGATAGATGTTATATACCGTATAGTAACCTGATGTAACCTGTTGTGTAGAAAGTGCAGCTTGTGACGCTCTTGATCTGCAGGTGATATTTGATTTAGGTAAAATGAAAATCAGGAAAATGTTAAATATTGAATGGAAGAAGCCTCCTAAAGATGAGGATTCGCTGATGTTATTTCTTTTTTCATTTAAAATACAATATGGAGTTCTTCACTGCTGACAATGGACAAACAATTTGAAAAAACTGAAATAAGAAAAATGTAATCAGCAGCTAATATGATATTATTGTGCAAACCATTCCCTAGTTTAAGCTTCTCAATTTTCATATTTTGCTGCTTTTGTTGGTTGTATGGAAAAGTACCTCTAATATATATGATTTGTTATGTCTGTTGGTTAAGAGGAGATATTTCAAGGGTGTTAGGGAGCTAGAGAAAGTGTTATGGACATGTATCACTATTTTTGGACATTCTACATTTCACAATGACTAGAATCATTAAGAAAAGTGTTGGTAGATGAATCAAGAAGGTATACAATTGTCAGTTGCAGCGCTAGATGATAACCAAAATGTTTAATAAAACAGCAAACATGGTTGGTTTCGACCTCTAATTGCAGCCTATGACACATTGGTGCAGATGTGAGGATTTTTCTTGAAGGGTGGTATACATATTCATTATAACAGTCTTTCCCCTGAGTCTTCTATAAGAGCTGGCTTTCTCTAACAATCAGCAGTCCTATTTACATTTTCAAGGGTATCGTGAACTTTTTCTGCACTTGCATATCATCAGATCATCTTTCATCTGTTGAATCATGTCTTTATTGTAATGGCATAAGCGCACATCTCTGCGAGCCGAAATGTAAATTCATCATATGGGGAGAGTGTTTGTTCCAGCTCTAATTATTTCTCCCCTCTTTGGCTGTAATGATGCTTCATGGGGAGAGCCGTATCGTATGCATGCACGCACGCTCTTCCTCTCATTAGGGAAGACTACAATTAAACCCACAGGCTGCTATGCCAGTGCTGAGCTTCCTTTTCCCTGTCTACATGTGCCACACACACACACACACACACACACACACACACACACACACACACACACACACACACACACACACACACACACACACACACACACACACAGAATCTCATTAGAGAAATGTGTGACACTTCACCACTGTTACCTTATCAGCTGTTAGCAATTCTTATCCAACCTTAAGATTATCTCACTTTGCTGGACAGTCATATTTTGTGTGATGTGACTAATGAAAACATAAATCATGTCATTGGAGGGAAGTTATCATTTGCATTTACCAAGTCTTATAGGCAGCCTTACAGTAAAGTGAATGCTGTAGTTGAATGAAATCAACAACATTAATTCAGCTATGTGTCAACTCAGCACATCCTCATTACTATATACTAAATATTAATATAGTATTTATATTCATAGAGTTGTATTTCTTTGAAAATATTGTGGTAGTTAACCCCAGAATGAGCTATTTATGTTTCAATTGTATCGCATCCACATGGGGGCAGCGCAACAGGCTGTAAACACAGCACTGATAGATGATCTCCTTTTAAGTTAATATGTCTAACATGTTACCAAATATTTGCTTATTTACATAACTTGCAGTCATTTAGGGTCCTGTTCCTGGCCCTTTAATGAATATAAGCTATATATATCTTGATATTCTCTCACTCCTAAAGTAAATATGTGTGTCTATCTTTGTGTGCTACTACTGTTGGTGGGAAGGTAGTGTTCAGTGGATCCATCTGACCTTTTGCTGGAAAGCCCGCCCTTATTGCTGCTGGTAACGACTGTTTGTGGTGTGAGAGTGCACTGAAACAGTGAAGTAGGCTGTAAAAACCAAAAACAGTGAAGTGAAGCCACTAAGACAAAAACACTCAGTAGACCTGAGAGGAAGTGTAGGGTTGGGATTTATCCCTATGTTATCAATAGGAATTTATTAAATTGATCCATTGTAATGTCAAAACATGGCTTGGAGGAGCTTTCTTATAAGGATAAATGAGACACATTTTCTCTGATACCTCTTGTCTATTCTCCTTATAATTTATTTTGTGTTATCTATATTCATAAAGGACTTAGCAGTCTGTTTTGTTTGACAGCACTTGTGACACGAGAGTGCTCCCCGAGGCATTGAGGGCGCCGTGCCTCTCTTGCTGTGACATGTTTTGTAGTCCTGCTTGTTGCCCACTGTCGGCATCCGAGCTCAGGCTATTTTCAGTCTCGCTTCTCCGACCCTCTTCATATCACCATGGCAGCTGAGCTGGACTGAGCTGGACTCTGTGGGGTCTCAGAGGTGGGAAGGCTGGATGTCTGGCTCCATGTCATAGGGGGAGTTCGCTTTTGATGGGATCAGCCTTCAGCTCATTCAAACCGGATGTGGAAAGGTCATTTTGTTGTTGGGTTTTATTCATAGCTTTTGGCTGTCGTGAGACGTTTCTCTGCTGTCTAGTAAATGCACGGGGAGCAGAAATGATCCTGAGCTGAAAGAGATGATAGCTGAACTGTAGTTATGTGCACAGGTATGGTGTCAGCACAGGTGTCAGCAACAATACAGTGTTATGCTGTGAGTAAATAACACGTGTCAGTGTTTTCCAAAATCTGGGTCAAATTCAGGGCTGTGGAAAGACCAGGATTTCTATTATCAGATTCTGTAAGAAGTATTATATTATTGACTGTCGGGGCTACGGCTCTCTGAATCCTTGAACTGTAAGAAAGCTGGAACTGGAAAAGTGTTTTTTTGGAGAATAGCATGAAAGAAGTAAACTCAAATGTTTTTAGACAAGCTTACTGAATTGAATTCCGTGTTGTGGCATCTTAAGAGAAAACAACAAGAGAAACCACATCTGTTATTTGTGTGAAACAGACTTCATATAAACCCGTAGTCCGCAATTGTATCTGCGTAGCGGTGCAGAAAGCAGTGTTTGTATTTAACCGAGTGGAAACGGCGGCGTCTCTCAGTGGGGCTTCCACACTCTTATTCGGAGCAGCAGACTGAAGTCGATAAGCCTTTGCTAGAAGTAAATTGGATTGGCTTCTTCAATCATTTTGCCCATCGATTCACGTATTTGTCTGTATTTTCTGTGACAGTGAATAAGGAGAAGAGAGAATCAGGCAAGATATGAAGGCAGGAAGGACATAATGGGAAGGTAGGGCGAGAATGGAAAGGTTAAGAGGGGATATCTGAGCCTTACCTGGCGTGTGACCCTATGTGAGGACAAAACCAGAGACGAGAATAAAAGGGAAAAAGTATTTAACCTCTAATGACCTTTGACCAATCCGAATTTCCGTTATCATAGTAAGTTGTCGTGTAAATCACACTTTATCACTTTGTTTCAACAGCATGTTTTATGGATTATTGTAAAGAAAATCCTTACGTTTTTACCTTATGTCAAGAAGATCGTTTAAAATACCTTTCTGCATGGGAGGTCTTCATCTTAGGGCTTACAAACTCTGGACTGAAAGACTGGAGGAGATTTAAGGAGAGGATTTGGTTTTGACTCCTGTTCTGAATGTAAGGAACCAAACTCTTAAGATATAAGAAGGGGAAGAATTGAGAAAAAGACATTAAAGACGAAAAGCAGATTAGTTATGGTAAGTTAGAAGGCAAGAGATAATACATGGGGGGTGAGGAGACAAAAAGAAAATCAAGATGCTATTGAGGCGAGGAGAAGACAGAGAAGCACATTTGGTGAGAGGGAAGAGGACAGGAGTGTGGCCGACGTAAGATAATAGGAGAAGAAGGAGAGAAAATAGAAGAATAGATAGAAGGAGATCAGGGCGATGAGGCAACGGGAGGAGGTGTGCCTCTTCATTTCTCAGCAACAGGCATTTGTGTCTATCAGTTTGGACCACACATCCATGTTAACGTTGGTTTGCACAGCCTGAATGTTTACTTTCTCTTCCCTATCAAAACATCTCCCGGTACGAAGTGATTTAAGTGAATTTTCGCACAGTCAACACACTCAAGGATGATTATGCATTAAAAAAGAAATTGTTCTTTTCAGAAGACCAAGCGTTTGATAAGCAGGAGAGATTTCATGTCAGAACATCCTGCTGTGTAATCTGTGGCGTGACTGTGACAGGGCAGGAGACTTCCAATATAAAAAAAGGATTTTAGCAGATAATAATAAAATCAAACGTGGAGTAGTCGGCACATTGTGAAGTCAAATGATGTACTGGGTGTTGGAAAATATGCATACTACAGATGTCCTCCCCAGAAACGTGTTAAGACGGATTTTATTTTCCTTTCTGGTTAGTTAAAAGACTCAGGTTGTTTCCATGAAGGGGGAGCTGTGAAATCTGAATTTTAAGCACTAAAATATATATTTCTCTGTCATTTTTGTTTATCCAGATTGAAGAAAACCACAGAAGAAGAAGAAGAAGAAGCAGCAGGGGACGAGCCAGGGCTGAGGAGGAGAGAGGATATTTGAGTTTCTCTGGTAAGTTGGAAACTTTTCCTTCAGGCTTTGAATCCATTTCTGTTCTCATCCCATCATCTCCACCAACATCATCATTTTCCAAAACAGTGTGAGCTTCCTGCCTCTCAGAATCAAACGTTCTTGTTCTTCTCAAAGGCCTTTCCCCTCCAGTAGGATGTGAACACACACAAATGTCAGTCTATTTGCCATGCCTGGCAAGTGTCTCCAGTCCAAATATCTCCATGCTGCTGCCAGAGCGTGAATGTATTAATATCAACACTCTCTGTAGACCTCTAACGTCCGTAACAACTTCCACCGCTACGCTCCCTTTCTGTCTCTGCTGTGTGAAGCCTGCTCCTCTGCTCTAGCTGTAAGGCAAAGGTCACCGCTAGCTCCACTGGCATTTGTCCACTGGGAAAGGCTCTTTTTTGTTTTTGGCCTCCATTTTGGCCGCGAGGATTGGCAGGGAATTAAAATCTCTTGTGTTTCTAATGTCCGACTGTCTGTTTGATGCATATGGTTGTCAAGGTAACACACCCTCTCATCCTCGCCCACTGCTGTGACAGTGGGCGTCGATACTTAGAGATCACAAAATAGCACTTAGAGGCTATATATTGCTCAGTGCCTCTCTCTTATTGACACATTATGTGTAATAATGGAGCACACAGAGGTAGAGAAAAGTTCTCTAATGGCAGTTCCACAATTAGCAGCTAAAGTAGCGTCCCATAAGCACGGGGTCTCTGCGTGCTTTAGAGCCCGGAGGATTGACTTGTTTTTAGTCAGAAACCTTTGGGCTCATCACATCATTCTGCGGTGCTGAAAGTGTGTTTGGGATTCAGCGAGGAGTTGATCTAATGCTCTGTGATTGGAGGTGACACGGTGTGATGTGTGTCCACCACCCAGTGGAGCGTGAAGGAAGGATCCCACCTCGAATCCACCGCCCCACACCACTGTGTCGCGCGGGAAGGGAGTCACGCACAGCCGAGTGCAGAGCTGAGGGACTCTGACGGCTCGGAGCTCATCTCCCTCTGCTGCTGCTGCTATGCTTGTTTTATTTTGGGGATTGCGGGGTGGGCTCACTATCTCTCTCTGTGTTTATCCATTTATGTGCCTATTTCAATCTTTGCCTCTGCCTGTCTGTCAGTCTGTTTGCCTCTGAATCTCTCATTCTTTCCGTTTCCCTCTTGTCATCCCGCTGTGGCAGTAATGTTGTTGTGAATGTGTGCTGCAGGCCAGAGAGACTGAGTCCACTTTTCTCAATGAACGAGTCACACAGGGCCACACTTAGGAGCTGCAGACCATATTTTCGGTTTGAAACACAGTGAGCCGTGAAGCGCCTTTTGTGAGCAGCTGCATTCGGGTCCCATGCCCTTCAATAGAAGGCCGCTGAGGTTTCTGTTTACCTCCATAGTGCTGTCTTTCACCGTTTTCTCTCACATGGCCGTCAGGGAGTGGGGTGTTATTGTTTGTGTTTGTCTGTTTTAGTGCCAAGAAAAAGATTGGGGATCAGACAGACGATAGCTTAGCCTCTTTGGAAATTGCTACAATTGAGTTAACTCCACATAAGCTTGTCTTTTAAATCAGTAGATAACACAGTCTTTTCATAAACAGTGCAGTTTTTTCATTCTAATTTTCCATTTCACTATACTCCGACACATTTGATATGAAATCAAAACATAACTATTTGATCAATCTGTGGTATGAAATTGGATGGTGCTAAGCCCACATTGTTGTAGGACAACAACCCTCCAGACACAGAGGAGGCAACCAGAGAGTTTTATGGCCAAACTCTAGATTGTCCACCAGACCTCAGGCCAACTTGTCATGCGTTTTACTTGTTCAATACCAGACTAAAGCCCCTGAAACCAGCAATAAGTGCAGATGGCTGCAGTGAAGGCCTGCAGCAGCAACACTGCCAATACTCTATTGTGGGTTGTGGCATCCAGCATTTTCTGCAACAACAACCATTTAAAAAAATGATGATTTTAAAGAATTAACGTAGAGTGTAATGTAATTGAGGATCACGCCAACATTACCACAGAGACAGTTCTGGCTGTCATGAGTACTTTTTGACCTTGGCTAACCTTGTTCATACCTTTATGATCATCTGACTTCTCCTGTTTCTTACCCTTTCTGACTCTTCTTTAACTATATTAGGTGAGTACAATGTTGTAAAGTACAAGACTAGATTGCCCCCTTTTTTAATTGTCCAACTATGTTTTTCCCCGAATATAAGAAGATCACGTGTAACTTCTACACAGTTCATTTGATGTAGATGGAAACACCTTCAAATTAAGGTACGTCTATCTTAATACCCCCTGACTGAACTCTACAGTACAAGCCTGTAGCATGTTGTTAGTTTTGAATAACTTAGTTAGCAGTCGGAGCCCGAAGGTCTCTCTCTTACAAATGCAGTCCTACCCGTAAAGGCAGCGTACATAAACAGTGTTGTGTTGTTAGTGAAGCTCCATCGTCTCCGCACAAGGTTATAAAGCAGCAGCAGTGCTGAGATCAGACAAGTCGCAGATGAGTAAAGGGATTCAAATGTGCGCAGAGGGCCTCTGGGCGGCTCCCAGCAGGCCTCGTTTCAGACGAACGCATCGAGATATTTCTAAGGTATCGCTTTGATACGAGCTTGACAATTCTCTGACGGTTCTCTGTGTCAACACTGCTGTCTGCGCATGCCACTGTGTGTGTGTGTGTAGATGTGATTGAATGAATGTGTGAGTTTGTCGGCGTCTCTATGAGAAGCAAAGGCAGGGAGGTGCACGGAGACACGGCTAAAGTGTCAGAAAGAAGGACATGAATACAGAAACGGATGAATAGATGGATACAAAGACAGTGAGGGAGAGAATGAGGCTGAGTGATGTGAAAGAGGGTGGTGAGGCCCCTCCTGAGGGGATTCTGCTCCGCTTCTCCATCTTCCAGCGCTGTTGAGAAAGTCGGCTACATGCACAATGACTCACAAACTGCTCCGCAGACAGCCTGCAGAGTCGGAGGAGACATCGGTCTATCTATGGCTCTGCATCACCATCTTTATTTTTTATTTCCCCAACTCTGTTCACCTTCTCTCACCTGCTCAACCTTCCTCCAGGCCTCGTTCTGCCTTCACTGCCCTCTGTGTGCAATTATCTGATCCAGCCTCTCATGTTCCTTATTCACACTGCTGAATGCATCTATGCCCACTCCTCTATGTTCATTCCTCTGTGGTCCATAAGCTCCATATTTAACGACATACAAACACGAGTGGTCTTAATCTTCTTATCTAACTTTCTCTAAAAAGAGCCAGTAATGACGCTTTTCCACTGCAGGACCTAGCACGGCTTAGTACGGTATGGTTAGGCCTTGGTAGGCCAGGCTCACTTTATGCTGCATTATAGTTTAGGAACTGGGGTAGTAACTATAGTAACGCAGTGTAGGCGGGGCGATCGGCATCTTCAATGCGAACCACAAAACCAAAACATCAGCCGTTAGCTGTTAGCTGTTAGCATTCAGAGCTCACAGCTCCTCATATCTGTTCAGAAACGAGACAAAAGTTAAACAAGTACAAACCACAGACTGTCTGTGTCATGGTGAATACAGTCGCTGGTTTATTTATGTCTGTATAGGCCGTTGTTGTGAGTTTTTCGCCTGCCTTCTTGTCTGCAGACCGGCATCGTTTTGAAACGTGTATTACAATTAAATCACGGTAAAATATGTTCATGTTGTTGTAGTTGTAGCCCCCTTGCCAGCGATTCTCTCTGACCATTCAGCAGTCGAGAGTGTTTACGTCACTAGTTTAGCATATTCAGCCCGGTTGTTGGCCCTGAGCCGGAACTACCCCTAGTGCTACGTGCTGCAGTGGAAAAGAGCCACGTGTATCTCTTTCTTATCTGTGGTTTTTGTGTTAGTTGACCTGGAGTTCTTCTTTCGAGTAGTCATTTATTTATGCTTTTTTTAGTGTAAATGACTGATTTTAAAGAAACCTATAGTACATCTCTTATGAACACAAGATATGAAGTGGTCCTTTTCATGGCTCTTTGTGAACAAACTCAGAAGAAAGCCTTTTTTTGAATTATTCCTTTAACAGATCAAAGGAAGTGGATTTCTCACCTGAGCTAAAGGAAAAAAGGATGTTCAGACAGAATACTTGACTGGCCTGAGAGGATGGACATTTCTTTTCTAAAGTACAAAGGTATAGCTAGTAGTCTTCTCGTTTTTTGTTCCTTGTATTGACAGAGCGATAGCAGTAGAGGAAATGGAGCCCAGGTTTTATTTGCCCTACATTTTTATTCTAGAGCGCTTTAATTATCCGTGCCCAATTTTTTATCTCTACGAATTTCTGCCTCATGATTAACAGTATTTTTCTTTCATCGTTTTTTCTTGATGTGCCTCTGAATCCTTCTTCACACTGTGGTGTGGTCCAAGCATCGACATGGCTTCTGGACAGAGACGATTGTCCTCACACCATCGTAAGCTGCGGGGATCTATCTGTTCGGAGGGGGCCTCTAAGAAACCACATGATTTATGTGGCTGTTAGGCGTGGGTCCTGCTCCTAGGCCAAGTCTATCTGCTCATCAATATAAACAGCCTGCTCTCCGGGTGCTGCGTGCTGGAATACAAATGGCTGAATTTAGATGTAACCCCTCGCTCACCTGCGTCTCAGCCAATTCTAATGAGAAATCTCTCTGTTTACCTGCTGAGATAAAGAGAGCCAGAGTAAAGGAATGAGATAAATATGAAACATTAAAGCGCAATGAAATAACAAGCTACACTTGTTGGATCTCTCAGTCTTGTTCAATGAAATCAAATCTCTATCCACCTATCTTTTTCTCTGTTTGTAGATTTGTTGTATTTTGAAATATGAAGTATTGTAATGACTTCAATTATGCATCTTTGGCGTTGTTTTTCATACCTCTACATATGGATATGATTAGAGAAAAAATGTTACTTCCTATATCCAGTTAATATGCATTTAAAAAAAACACTTGCATTAAACCTGTATACTTTTATCACAGTGACCCAGATTGTTATTTTCTCTA